AAGCATGGACAGATGCTTGATCTGACAGCCAACGACAAGGAGAATACACAAAATGTTCGGGTGGAACATGGTTGCGCCAACATTACATTGCAAGTTTCTGCATTCATCTTTCGAGGACAGGATTAAACAGTGCCAACAGAAACTTCAGCTCAAATTCAGCATTGTGAATGATTTTATCTGGGACGATGCAAGCTGGATGTTGAAAGCGTATGACGAATGACTCAAGGTCTTTGATGCCATATTTATATAAACTAAACTTGCAAGCCTACGTTGGGACAAGTAACGAGGAGAGCAAAACTTTATTAAGCTATGAGATTAATAAAAAAAAGTGCAAAGCATCATGGAAATAGACAAGACCACCGCACTGTGTTTTGTGGGATGGAAATAAATCAAGGCTCCATCTTGAGCATGAAATGATACCAAATGAGAAACTGCTGTGAGGGCACTGTTTGAGCTTTTCATGCGGCAGCTGTGGTAGCTCACTTACTTGGTATGAGCCATGCGATAACTGAATCTCAGGGGCACTCTTGAAGGTTTGCTGGAGGATGAATGATTTTACCATTTGCAGGTAATCAAACTGCTCAAAATAGCCTGAAATTTCCTCAGAGAAGACGGTTTTTGGAGAAAATGCTGTCTTCGCAGAGATTTCCACCATTTGGAGGTATCAGAAAATGAAAAGCAGCTTTGCCGAAATAGCTCAGTTGGGAGAGCGTTAGACTGAAGATCTAAAGGTCCCTGGTTCAATCCGGGTTTCGCAGGATGAGGGCCCTCTCTCCACATTCCCAGATTGAGTGCTGTTTTTACTTTCTCTTGTGCAAAAAACAAGATGACTCCAGTCGTTCGCTTGCCTAGTGAACAAAAAAGTCAGCTGCACAAAAAAGACGAATGCACTGTGGGCTGCACGAACAGAATGATGTAGTGCTGAGCAAGAAAAAAAAGCGAAAAGCCACTGGCCAAGAATGGGATTCATGGCAGAGCTGTATGTTGAAAACCACTTTTAGCCTGGAGAAATATCAGTGCTCAATGCTCAGCTTGTGAAAAAAGCACTTTTTTATCCCCAGGCCATGTGCAATGGTGTTGAAAGGACAGACTTTAGGTTTCACAATGTCATTCACAACGAAAATGAGTCAGCATTTTTTCTTTGTTTTGACAGTGACTGGGAAAAAACCTCCAACTCCCCGTCGGGGAATCGAACCCCGGTCTCCCGCGTGACAGGCGGGGATACTCACCACTATACTAACGAGGAGGAAATGGCAATTAATGGCCTGAAAATGTTTGTGCTGTAGAACGCAATTCCAAATGTCTGCAATGACATTTTGCAGGTCTTGTAAAACAAGTGCAATTGAACCTTATCTTAATTTCAGCAATGACCCTGCAGCTGTCCTTGCTTTCACTACTCCTGGGACAAGTAAAACTAATGATGCATAGTGTTAGTTGACTTTGACTTCAAACTAAAATTGAGACATTGCTTGCTGTTCATCATTGCTGTCAATGCCAGGGGTCCTGGCGGGCTTCAGTGCTCCAGCAGTAGGGCTCAGAGGGAATACACGTCAGAGCTATCCTCTGAGATAAAGGCAGCGAAGAGTCTCTTCTGCTCAGAAACACGCACAGTATTGCACAATTGACTCCAGCGCCCTAGTCCGCCTCGGCAGTGAATGCAGGAGCACGCCTGTGAGGGCACAAAAGGCAAGGCTGGAGAATGCGGCATTGATCCGCTACCTCGCATGCTAAGCTTAGCGCTCTACCATTTGAGCTAATTCCCCATGTTTGTTTCCTGGGAAATTTTACAGATGAATTTCCTCAATTTCGAGTGAAAATTCTGATTGATCTCGGAGTCCTTGCCCAATTTTTTATTCTTTCACTTTTGTATTTGGACAGGGCTTCTCCGTCATTTTTACCCTCAAAGCATGGACAGATGCTTGATCTGACAGCCAACGACAAGGAGAATACACAAAATGTTCGGGGGTGGAACATGGTTGCGCCAACATTACATTGCAAGTTTCTGCATTCATCTTTCGAGGACAGGATTAAACAGTGCCAACAGAAACTTCAGCTCAAATTCAGCATTGTGAATGATTTTATCTGGGACGATGCAAGCTGGATGTTGAAAGCGTATGACGAATGACTCAAGGTCTTTGATGCCATATTTATATAAACTAAACTTGCAAGCCTACGTTGGGACAAGTAACGAGGGAGAGCAAAACTTTATTAAGCTATGAGATTAATAAAAAAGTGCAAAGCATCATGGAAATAGACAAGACCACCGCACTGTGTTTTGTGGGATGGAAATAAATCAAGGCTCCATCTTGAGCATGAAATGATACCAAATGAGAAACTGCTGTGAGGGCACTGTTTGAGCTTTTCATGCGGCAGCTGTGGTAGCTCACTTACTTGGTATGAGCCATGCGATAACTGAATCTCAGGGGGCACTCTTGAAGGTTTGCTGGAGGATGAAAGATTTTACCATTTGCAGGTAATCAAACTTCTCAAAATAGCCTGAAATTTCCTCAGAGAAGACGGTTTTTGGAGAAAATGCTGTCTTCGCAGAGATTTCCACCATTTGGAGGTATCAGAAAATGAAAAGCAGCTTTGCCGAAATAGCTCAGTTGGGAGAGCGTTAGACTGAAGATCTAAAGGTCCCTGGTTCAATCCCGGTTTCGGCAGGATGAGGGCCCTCTCTCCACATTCCCAGATTGAGTGCTGTTTTTACTTTTTCTCTTGTGCAAAAAAACAAGATGACTCCAGTCGTTCGCTTGCCTAGTGAACAAAAAAAAAAGTCAGCTGCACAAAAAAGACGAATGCACTGTGGGCTGCATTTAACAGAATGATGTAGTGCTGAGCAAGAAGAAAAAAGCGAAGCCACTGGCCAAGAATGGGATTCATGGCAGAGCTGTATGTTGAAAACCACTTTTAGCCTGGAGAAATATCAGTGCTCAATGCTCAGCTTGTGAAAAAAAAGCACTTTTTATCCCCAGGCCATGTGCAATGGTGTTGAAAGGACAGACTTTAGGTTTCACAATGTCATTCACAACGAAAATGAGTCAGCATTTTTTCTTTGTTTTGACAGTGACTGGGAAAAAACCTCCAACTCCCCGTCCGGGAATCGAACCCCGGTCTCCGCGTGACAGGCGGGGATACTCACCACTATACTAACGAGGAGGAAATGGCAATTAATGGCCTGAAAATGTTTGTGCTGTAGAACGCAATTCCAAATGTCTGCAATGACATTTTGCAGGTCTTGTAAAACAAGTGCAATTGAACCTTATCTTAATTTCAGCAATGACCCTGCAGCTGTCCTTGCTTTCACTACTCCTGGGACAAGTAAAACTAATGATGCATAGTGTTAGTTGACTTTGACTTCAAACTAAAATTGAGACATTGCTTGCTGTTCATCATTGCTGTCAATGCCAGGGGTCCTGGCGGGCTTCAGTGCTCCAGCAGTAGGGCTCAGAGGGAATACACGCCAGAGCTATCCTCTGAGATAAAGGCAGCGAAGAGTCTCTTCTGCTCAGAAACACGCACAGTATTGCACAATTGACTCCAGCGCCCTAGTCCGCCTCGGCAGTGAATGCAGGAGCACGCCTGTGAGGGCACAAAAGGCAAGGCTGGAGAATGCGGGCATTGATCCCGCTACCTCTCGCATGCTAAGCGAGCGCTCTACCATTTGAGCTAATTCCCCATGTTTGTCCTGGGAAATTTTACAGATGAATTTCCTCAATTTCGAAAGTGAAAATTCTGATTGATCTCGGAGTCCTTGCCCAATTTTTTATTCTTTCACTTTTGTATTTGGACAGGGCTTCTCCGTCATTTTTACCCTCAAAGCATGGACAGATGCTTGATCTGACAGCCAACGACAAGGAGAATACACAAAATGTTGGGGTGGAACATGGTTGCGCCAACATTACATTGCAAGTTTCTGCATTCATCTTTCGAGGACAGGATTAAACAGTGCCAACAGAAACTTCAGCTCAAATTCAGCATTGTGAATGATTTTATCTGGGACGATGCAAGCTGGATGTTGAAAGCGTATGACGAATGACTCAAGGTCTTTGATGCCATATTTATATAAACTAAACTTGCAAGCCTACGTTGGGACAAGTAACGAGGGAGAGCAAAACTTTATTAAGCTATGAGATTAATAAAAAAGTGCAAAGCATCATGGAAATAGACAAGACCACCGCACTGTGTTTTGTGGGATGGAAATAAATCAAGGCTCCATCTTGAGCATGAAATGATACCAAATGAGAAACTGCTGTGAGGGCACTGTTTGAGCTTTTCATGCGGCAGCTGTGGTAGCTCACTTACTTGGTATGAGCCATGCGATAACTGAATCTCAGGGGGCACTCTTGAAGGTTTGCTGGAGGATGAATGATTTTACCATTTGCAGGTAATCAAACTGCTCAAAATAGCCTGAAATTTCCTCAGAGAAGACGGTTTTTGGAGAAAATGCTGTCTTCGCAGAGATTTCCACCATTTGGAGGTATCAGAAAATGAAAAGCAGCTTTGCCGAAATAGCTCAGTTGGGAGAGCGTTAGACTGAAGATCTAAAGGTCCCTGGTTCAATCCCGGGTTTCGGCAGGATGAGGGCCCTCTCTCCACATTCCCAGATTGAGTGCTGTTTTTACTTTCTCTTGTGCAAAAAACAAGATGACTCCAGTCGTTCGCTTGCCTAGTGAACAAAAAAGTCAGCTGCACAAAAAAGACGAATGCACTGTGGGCTGCACGAACAGAATGATGTAGTGCTGAGCAAGAAAGAAAAGCGAAAGCCACTGGCCAAGAATGGGATTCATGGCAGAGCTGTATGTTGAAAACCACTTTTAGCCTGGAGAAATATCAGTGCTCAATGCTCAGCTTGTGAAAAAAAAGCACTTTTTTATCCCCAGGCCATGTGCAATGGTGTTGAAAGGACAGACTTTAGGTTTCACAATGTCATTCACAACGAAAAATGAGTCAGCATTTTTTTTCTTTGTTTTGACAGTGACTGGGAAAAACCTCCAACTCCCCCCGTCGGGGAATCGAACCCCGGTCTCCAGCGTGACAGGGGGATACTCACCACTATACTAACGAGGAGGAAATGGCAATTAATGGCCTGAAAATGTTTGTGCTGTAGAACGCAATTCCAAATGTCTGCAATGACATTTTGCAGGTCTTGTAAAACAAGTGCAATTGAACCTTATCTTAATTTCAGCAATGACCCTGCAGCTGTCCTTGCTTTCACTACTCCTGGGACAAGTAAAACTAATGATGCATAGTGTTAGTTGACTTTGACTTCAAACTAAAATTGAGACATTGCTTGCTGTTCATCATTGCTGTCAATGCCAGGGGTCCTGGCGGGCTTCAGTGCTCCAGCAGTAGGGCTCAGAGGGAATACACGTCAGAGCTATCCTCTGAGATAAAGGCAGCGAAAGAGTCTCTTCTGCTCAGAAACACGCACAGTATTGCACAATTGACTCGCGTCCTAGTCCGCCTCGGCAGTGAATGCAGGAGCACGCCTGTGAGGGCACAAAAGGCAAGGCTGGAGAATGCGGGCATTGATCCCGCTACCTCTCGCATGCTAAGCGAGCGCTCTACCATTTGAGCTAATTCCCCATGTTTGTCCTGGGAAATTTTACAGATGAATTTCCTCAATTTCGAGTGAAAATTCTGATTGATCTCGGAGTCCTTGCCCAATTTTTATTCTTTCACTTTTGTATTTGGACAGGGCTTCTCCGTCATTTTTACCCTCAAAGCATGGATAGATGCTTGATCTGACAGCCAACGACAAGGAGAATACACAAAATGTTCGGGGTGGAACATGGTTGCGCCAACATTACATTGCAAGTTTCTGCATTCATCTTTCGAGGACAGGATTAAACAGTGCCAACAGAAACTTCAGCTCAAATTCAGCATTGTGAATGATTTTATCTGGGACGATGCAAGCTGGATGTTGAAAGCGTATGACGAATGACTCAAGGTCTTTGATGCCATATTTATATAAACTAAACTTGCAAGCCTACGTTGGGACAAGTAACGAGGGAGAGCAAAACTTTATTAAGCTATGAGATTAATAAAAAAGTGCAAAGCATCATGGAAATAGACAAGACCACCGCACTGTGTTTTGTGGGATGGAAATAAATCAAGGCTCCATCTTGAGCATGAAATGATACCAAATGAGAAACTGCTGTGAGGGCACTGTTTGAGCTTTTTCATGCGGCAGCTGTGGTAGCTCACTTACTTGGTATGAGCCATGCGATAACTGAATCTCAGGGGGCACTCTTGAAGGTTTGCTGGAGGATGAATGATTTTACCATTTGCAGGTAATCAAACTGCTCAAAATAGCCTGAAATTTCCTCAGAGAAGACGGTTTTTGGAGAAAATGCTGTCTTCGCAGAGATTTCCACCATTTGGAGGTATCAGAAAATGAAAAGCAGCTTTGCCGAAATAGCTCAGTTGGGAGAGCGTTAGACTGAAGATCTAAAGGTCCCTGGTTCAATCCCGGGTTTCGCAGGATGAGGGCCCTCTCTCCACATTCCCAGATTGAGTGCTGTTTTTACTTTCTCTTGTGCAAAAAACAAGATGACTCCAGTCGTTCGCTTGCCTAGTGAACAAAAAAAAGTCAGCTGCACAAAAAACGAATGCACTGTGGGCTGCACGAACAGAATGATGTAGTGCTGAGCAAGAAAGAAAAGCGAAAAGCCACTGGCCAAGAATGGGATTCATGGCAGAGCTGTATGTTGAAAACCACTTTTAGCCTGGAGAAATATCAGTGCTCAATGCTCAGCTTGTGAAAAAAGCACTTTTTATCCCCAGGCCATGTGCAATGGTGTTGAAAGGACAGACTTTAGGTTTCACAATGTCATTCACAACGAAAATGAGTCAGCATTTTTCTTTGTTTTGACAGTGACTGGGAAAAAAACCTCCAACTCCCCCCCGTCGGGGAATCGAACCCCGGTCTCCGCGTGACAGGCGGGATACTCACCACTATACTAACGAGGAGGAAATGGCAATTAATGGCCTGAAAATGTTTGTGCTGTAGAACGCAATTCCAAATGTCTGCAATGACATTTTGCAGGTCTTGTAAAACAAGTGCAATTGAACCTTATCTTAATTTCAGCAATGACCCTGCAGCTGTCCTTGCTTTCACTACTCCTGGGACAAGTAAAACTAATGATGCATAGTGTTAGTTGACTTTGACTTCAAACTAAAATTGAGACATTGCTTGCTGTTCATCATTGCTGTCAATGCCAGGGGTCCTGGCGGGCTTCAGTGCTCCAGCAGTAGGGCTCAGAGGGAATACACGTCAGAGCTATCCTCTGAGATAAAGGCAGCGAAGAGTCTCTTCTGCTCAGAAACACGCACAGTATTGCACAATTGACTCCGCGTCCTAGTCCGCCTCGGCAGTGAATGCAGGAGCACGCCTGTGAGGGCACAAAAGGCAAGGCTGGAGAATGCGGGCATTGATCCCGCTACCTCTCGCATGCTAAGCGAGCGCTCTACCATTTGAGCTAATTCCCCATGTTTGTCCTGGGAAATTTTACAGATGAATTTCCTCAATTTCGAAAGTGAAAATTCTGATTGATCTCGGAGTCCTTGCCCAATTTTTATTCTTTCACTTTTTGTATTTGGACAGGGCTTCTCCGTCATTTTTACCCTCAAAGCATGGACAGATGCTTGATCTGACAGCCAACGACAAGGAGAATACACAAAATGTTCGGGTGGAACATGGTTGCGCCAACATTACATTGCAAGTTTCTGCATTCATCTTTCCAGGACAGGATTAAACAGTGCCAACAGAAACTTCAGCTCAAATTCAGCATTGTGAATGATTTTATCTGGGGACGATGCAAGCTGGATGTTGAAAGCGTATGACGAATGACTCAAGGTCTTTGATGCCATATTTATATAAACTAAACTTGCAAGCCTACGTTGGGACAAGTAACGAGGAGAGCAAAACTTTATTAAGCTATGAGATTAATAAAAAGTGCAAAGCATCATGGAAATAGACAAGACCACCGCACTGTGTTTTGTGGGATGGAAATAAATCAAGGCTCCATCTTGAGCATGAAATGATACCAAATGAGAAACTGCTGTGAGGGCACTGTTTGAGCTTTTCATGCGGCAGCTGTGGTAGCTCACTTACTTGGTATGAGCCATGCGATAACTGAATCTCAGGGGGCACTCTTGAAGGTTTGCTGGAGGATGAAAGATTTTACCATTTGCAGGTAATCAAACTTCTCAAAATAGCCTGAAATTTCCTCAGAGAAGACGGTTTTTGGAGAAAATGCTGTCTTCGCAGAGATTTCCACCATTTGGAGGTATCAGAAAATGAAAAGCAGCTTTGCCGAAATAGCTCAGTTGGGAGAGCGTTAGACTGAAGATCTAAAGGTCCCTGGTTCAATCCCGGGTTTCGGCAGGATGAGGGCCCTCTCTCCACATTCCCAGATTGAGTGCTGTTTTTACTTTCTCTTGTGCAAAAAACAAGATGACTCCAGTCGTTCGCTTGCCTAGTGAACAAAAAAGTCAGCTGCACAAAAAAGACGAATGCACTGTGGGCTGCACGAACAGAATGATGTAGTGCTGAGCAAGAAAGAAAAGCGAAAGCCACTGGCCAAGAATGGGATTCATGGCAGAGCTGTATGTTGAAAACCACTTTTAGCCTGGAGAAATATCAGTGCTCAATGCTCAGCTTGTGAAAAAAGCACTTTTTTATCCCCAGGCCATGTGCAATGGTGTTGAAAGGACAGACTTTAGGTTTCACAATGTCATTCACAACGAAAATGAGTCAGCATTTTTTCTTTGTTTTGACAGTGACTGGGAAAAAACCTCCAACTCCCCGTCGGGGAATCGAACCCCGGTCTCCCGCGTGACAGGCGGGGATACTCACCACTATACTAACGAGGAGGAAATGGCAATTAATGGCCTGAAAATGTTTGTGCTGTAGAACGCAATTCCAAATGTCTGCAATGACATTTTGCAGGTCTTGTAAAACAAGTGCAATTGAACCTTATCTTAATTTCAGCAATGACCCTGCAGCTGTCCTTGCTTTCACTACTCCTGGGACAAGTAAAACTAATGATGCATAGTGTTAGTTGACTTTGACTTCAAACTAAAATTGAGACATTGCTTGCTGTTCATCATTGCTGTCAATGCCAGGGGTCCTGGCGGGCTTCAGTGCTCCAGCAGTAGGGCTCAGAGGGAATACACGTCAGAGCTATCCTCTGAGATAAAGGCAGCGAAGAGTCTCTTCTGCTCAGAAACACGCACAGTATTGCACAATTGACTCCAGGCCCTAGTCCGCCTCGGCAGTGAATGCAGGAGCACGCCTGTGAGGGCACAAAAGGCAAGGCTGGAGAATGCGGGCATTGATCCCGCTACCTCTCGCATGCTAAGCGAGCGCTCTACCATTTGAGCTAATTCCCCATGTTTGTTTATGGGAAATTTTACAGATGAATTTCCTCAATTCGAAAGTGAAAATTCTGATTGATCTCGGAGTCCTTGCCCAATTTTTATTCTTTCACTTTTGTATTTGGACAGGGCTTCTCCGTCATTTTTACCCTCAAAGCATGGACAGATGCTTGATCTGACAGCCAACGACAAGGAGAATACACAAAATGTTCGGGGTGGAACATGGTTGCGCCTAACATTACATTGCAAGTTTCTGCATTCATCTTTCCAGGACAGGATTAAACAGTGCCAACAGAAACTTCAGCTCAAATTCAGCATTGTGAATGATTTTATCTGGGACGATGCAAGCTGGATGTTGAAAGCGTATGACGAATGACTCAAGGTCTTTGATGCCATATTTATATAAACTAAACTTGCAAGCCTACGTTGGGACAAGTAACGAGGGAGAGCAAAACTTTATTAAGCTATGAGATTAATAAAAAAGTGCAAAGCATCATGGAAATAGACAAGACCACCGCACTGTGTTTTGTGGGATGGAAATAAATCAAGGCTCCATCTTGAGCATGAAATGATACCAAATGAGAAACTGCTGTGAGGGCACTGTTTGAGCTTTTCATGCGGCAGCTGTGGTAGCTCACTTACTTGGTATGAGCCATGCGATAACTGAATCTCAGGGGGCACTCTTGAAGGTTTGCTGGAGGATGAATGATTTTACCATTTGCAGGTAATCAAACTGCTCAAAATAGCCTGAAATTTCCTCAGAGAAGACGGTTTTTGGAGAAAATGCTGTCTTCGCAGAGATTTCCACCATTTGGAGGTATCAGAAAATGAAAAGCAGCATTGCCGAAATAGCTCAGTTGGGAGAGCGTTAGACTGAAGATCTAAAGGTCCCTGGTTCAATCCTGGGGTTTTTCGCAGGATGAGGGCCCCTCTCCACATTCCCAGATTGAGTGCTGTTTTTACTTTCTCTTGTGCAAAAAACAAGATGACTCCAGTCGTTCGCTTGCCTAGTGAACAAAAAAAAAAGTCAGCTGCACAAAAAAACGAATGCACTGTGGGCTGCACGAACAGAATGATGTAGTGCTGAGCAAGAAAGAAAAGCGAAAGCCACTGGCCAAGAATGGGATTCATGGCAGAGCTGTATGTTGAAAACCACTTTTAGCCTGGAGAAATATCAGTGCTCAATGCTCAGCTTGTGAAAAAAAGCACTTTTTATCCCCAGGCCATGTGCAATGGTGTTGAAAGGACAGACTTTAGGTTTCACAATGTCATTCACAACGAAAATGAGTCAGCATTTTTTCTTTGTTTTGACAGTGACTGGGAAAAAACCTCCAACTCCCCTGGGTCGGGGAATCGAACCCCGGTCTCAGCGTGACAGGCGGGGATACTCACCACTATACTAACGAGGAGGAAATGGCAATTAATGGCCTGAAAATGTTTGTGCTGTAGAACGCAATTCCAAATGTCTGCAATGACATTTTGCAGGTCTTGTAAAACAAGTGCAATTGAACCTTATCTTAATTTCAGCAATGACCCTGCAGCTGTCCTTGCTTTCACTACTCCTGGGACAAGTAAAACTAATGATGCATAGTGTTAGTTGACTTTGACTTCAAACTAAAATTGAGACATTGCTTGCTGTTCATCATTGCTGTCAATGCCAGGGGTCCTGGCGGGCTTCAGTGCTCCAGCAGTAGGGCTCAGAGGGAATACACGTCAGAGCTATCCTCTGAGATAAAGGCAGCGAAGAGTCTCTTCTGCTCAGAAACACGCACAGTATTGCACAATTGACTCCGCGTCCTAGTCCGCCTCGGCAGTGAATGCAGGAGCACGCCTGTGAGGGCACAAAAGGCAAGGCTGGAGAATGCGGGCATTGATCCGCTACCTCTCGCATGCTAATTTAGCGCTCTACCATTTGAGCTAATTCCCCATGTTTGTCCTGGGAAATTTTACAGATGAATTTCCTCAATTTCGAGTGAAAATTCTGATTGATCTCGGAGTCCTTGCCCAATTTTTATTCTTTCACTTTTGTATTTGGACAGGGCTTCTCCGTCATTTTTACCCTCAAAGCATGGATAGATGCTTGATCTGACAGCCAACGACAAGGAGAATACACAAAATGTTCGGGGTGGAACATGGTTGCGCCAACATTACATTGCAAGTTTCTGCATTCATCTTTCGAGGACAGGATTAAACAGTGCCAACAGAAACTTCAGCTCAAATTCAGCATTGTGAATGATTTTATCTGGGACGATGCAAGCTGGATGTTGAAAGCGTATGACGAATGACTCAAGGTCTTTGATGCCATATTTATATAAACTAAACTTGCAAGCCTACGTTGGGACAAGTAACGAGGGAGAGCAAAACTTTATTAAGCTATGAGATTAATAAAAAAGTGCAAAGCATCATGGAAATAGACAAGACCACCGCACTGTGTTTTGTGGGATGGAAATAAATCAAGGCTCCATCTTGAGCATGAAATGATACCAAATGAGAAACTGCTGTGAGGGCACTGTTTGAGCTTTTCATGCGGCAGCTGTGGTAGCTCACTTACTTGGTATGAGCCATGCGATAACTGAATCTCAGGGGGCACTCTTGAAGGTTTGCTGGAGGATGAAAGATTTTACCATTTGCAGGTAATCAAACTTCTCAAAATAGCCTGAAATTTCCTCAGAGAAGACGGTTTTGGAGAAAATGCTGTCTTCGCAGAGATTTCCACCATTTGGAGGTATCAGAAAATGAAAAGCAGCTTTTGCCGAAATAGCTCAGTTGGGAGAGCGTTAGACTGAAGATCTAAAGGTCCCTGGTCAATCCCGGGTTTCGCAGGATGAGGGCCCTCTCCACATTCCCAGATTGAGTGCTGTTTTTACTTTCTCTTGTGCAAAAAACAAGATGACTCCAGTCGTTCGCTTGCCTAGTGACAAAAAAAGTCAGCTGCACAAAAAGACGAATGCACTGTGGGCTGCAATTTAACAGAATGATGTAGTGCTGAGCAAGAAAGAAAAGCGAAGCCACTGGCCAAGAATGGGATTCATGGCAGAGCTGTATGTTGAAAACCACTTTTAGCCTGGAGAAATATCAGTGCTCAATGCTCAGCTTGTGAAAAAAAAGCACTTTTTTATCCCCAGGCCATGTGCAATGGTGTTGAAAGGACAGACTTTAGGTTTCACAATGTCATTCACACGAAAATGAGTCAGCATTTTTTCTTTGTTTTGACAGTGACTGGGAAAAACCTCCAACTCCCCGTCCGGGGAATCGAACCCCGGTCTCCGCGTGACAGGCGGGATACTCACCACTATACTAACGAGGAGGAAATGGCAATTAATGGCCTGAAAATGTTTGTGCTGTAGAACGCAATTCCAAATGTCTGCAATGACATTTTGCAGGTCTTGTAAAAACAAGTGCAATTGAACCTTATCTTAATTTCAGCAATGACCCTGCAGCTGTCCTTGCTTTCACTACTCCTGGGACAAGTAAAACTAATGATGCATAGTGTTAGTTGACTTTGACTTCAAACTAAAATTGAGACATTGCTTGCTGTTCATCATTGCTGTCAATGCCAGGGGTCCTGGCGGGCTTCAGTGCTCCAGCAGTAGGGCTCAGAGGAATACACGCCAGAGCTATCCTCTGAGATAAAGGCAGCGAAGAGTCTCTTCTGCTCAGAAACACGCACAGTATTGCACAATTGACTCGCGTCCTAGTCCGCCTCGGCAGTGAATGCAGGAGCACGCCTGTGAGGGCACAAAGGCAAGGCTGGAGAATGCGGGCATTGATCCCGCTACCTCTCGCATGCTAAGCGAGCGCTCTACCATTTGAGCTAATTCCCCATGTTTGTCCTGGGAAATTTTACAGATGAATTTCCTCAATTTCGAGTGAAAATTCTGATTGATCTCGGAGTCCTTGCCCAATTTTTATTCTTTCACTTTTGTATTTGGACAGGGCTTCTCCGTCATTTTTACCCTCAAAGCATGGATAGATGCTTGATCTGACAGCCAACGACAAGGAGAATACACAAAATGTTCGGGGTGGAACATGGTTGCGCCAACATTACATTGCAAGTTTCTGCATTCATCTTTCGAGGACAGGATTAAACAGTGCCAACAGAAACTTCAGCTCAAATTCAGCATTGTGAATGATTTTATCTGGGACGATGCAAGCTGGATGTTGAAAGCGTATGACGAATGACTCAAGGTCTTTGATGCCATATTTATATAAACTAAACTTGCAAGCCTACGTTGGGACAAGTAACGAGGGAGAGCAAAACTTTATTAAGCTATGAGATTAATAAAAAAGTGCAAAGCATCATGGAAATAGACAAGACCACCGCACTGTGTTTTGTGGGATGGAAATAAATCAAGGCTCCATCTTGAGCATGAAATGATACCAAATGAGAAACTGCTGTGAGGGGCACTGTTTGAGCTTTTCATGTGGCAGCTGTGGTAGCTCACTTACTTGGTATGAGCCATGCGATAACTGAATCTCAGGGGCACTCTTGAAGGTTTGCTGGAGGATGAAAGATTTTACCATTTGCAGGTAATCAAACTTCTCAAAATAGCCTGAAATTTCCTCAGAGAAGACGGTTTTGGAGAAAATGCTGTCTTCGCGAGATTTCCACACCATTGGAGGTATCAAAAAATGAAAAGCAGCATG